CGTTTGTTTCCAGTGAGTAACTGCCTCGCAATAGACACGGTTGAATTCCACTAGTCTTGAAGTTAAGTGTATGCAGTTATTTACAATTTTGCGTATTTATTTAAGTCATGAATAAACGCAACGGTTCCCTTATTGTTGACTCTTGGTTCGGTTTTCGCTTGTTGAAAAACCGTTACCAAGTTTAGACACAGCTGACGGCTGTTACTATTACAGGAAGCCTTATTTATTTCAGAAAAAAAGGTGCATGAAACGTCGCAGATACCTCACAGGTTGAGATTTATAACTAGTTTTTGTATATAATTAATTAAAAAACCGCTGATTTGGAGAAATCGTTGTTTTGCGAACTTCGATTTTGAGCGTATCTTAATTGGGTGATTCAGACGTTTCGATAGACTCAACAGTCTTTAACTTCGGTTTCAGTTTATGACTCCATAATGGTTGGCCCTATGTCAAGTACACATATGTTATTCTAGCTTCTGAACGAACCAATTTATCCATTCTTCTCTAGCTTCATTCTGACCTTGTCACTTATCCACCTTGACTGTTTTATGTTAGCGTATGTGTGTTCACTTCTTACTCATCACTTGTCTGTAACCTATTTTTGTCTGACTACAAATATCAATTCACGCCTGTCTAAATAGAGTTGGCTCACTTATCTGCTCCATTGCGCGTCATTTGACTTCACTTCTCATTCCGATCAACGATTGTATAAAATATACGCATTTAAAATCCATTCTCGCATTTAGCTTAGTTCATTCTGTTATTCACTAATGCGATCTAAGTCGATTATTATGTACGAGTATCGGCAACATGTATATTTCAGTAACAATCATCCTACGATATAACTGGAATCAGATAATGGGTCAATAAAACTCCATAAACGAGAGTCGAATTCAGGAGGTTCGGCCTCGTGTGTGAATGCTTAGCATTTAGATCAAAGAACAAGCATTTAAAGGTGTAAATGTCTAAATACAACTAATTCACAACATTGCGCGACCATCTTTCATTGTCTCTTGTGGCTGCCTTCCACATACTCGTCACGGATGAAATCCACTGGTCATCCTTGAAATATCTTCTCAAAGCTGGTCACATGAAGATTATCAGTTTTGAGTACGTGAGGATTGCTGAATGTTACATAGATCATGGACGGGTCGAAGTTATACAACCATTGACATGACAATAATATTAATAAGAATCGGTCGTATGTAATAAATATTCTTTCCTATTCAGAAACGGTTGTTAACAAATGTAAGGTTTATCAAAGCATGTTTCAGAAAACATGTCGTTGGGGCTCAGGAGTAAGTTCATTTTCAACTGATCGACACTGGTATTTAAATTAGGAAAAGTATAAAGATTTTCCTGTGTGAAATTCGTGTATAAAATGACATTTTTTACTTCACTGAATTAATTCTCTGTTTGCAAACGAAATATATCGACGTTTTTGTCCATATCGTGTTTTGATTTAATAATAGTTAGCCTAGAGAAATAAAGCGTCCCAGAATACAAGGCCGAAGAAAGAGACTTAATAATTGTATTAGTCAAACTTAAGTTAACCTGAAAAACATTATTTACTTTTCGAGGAAGCCGCTTACTCCAGGCCATTAAGCGTCGAAAACTCGAGTTTCTATTCATTGGTATGTGAATAATATATTGTTATACAATACATAAAATGTGTTGTTATGCATTTACCTTGATGAGAATGAAAACGAGTGTTGACTGAAAAATATCGAAAGACTCTCGTTTCTATGGGGTCAGCCAAATGCGTCTCAATGTGACATTACAGAATATCATGGTAAAATCTGAGACCAATACAGTAAACATTTCATTTACAAACTATCCACTGATTCTCTCAGAATTTATTGTCCCTTCATTTCCATACCAATCACTCTGTTCTCGTTTTCTTCCTTTCGATCTTATTAAGATTCTGCTGCCAGGCTTTCCTCGTTCGACCGTTGATACACACTACTTATATCAGTCCACATCAGTAGTACAGAACACAGTATGCCTGCAGCTGCCTGTGAATGAGAATATAATCAATACACATGTAGACATTCATCCAATGATTGATCGATTTTCTAAAATGAAATTCGACCAATCAAAATTGGATTATTGATTTCATCTTCTGTATTTTGATTGGATGAATCAGTTGTCCTTGTTCCCTCTTTCAAGGGTATTGATCGATAGGTAGAAGGAATATTTTTCCCTTGAATAAATAATAAGAAAAGTTAATGTGACGATTTATTTATTCATTTTCACAATTTGGAAACTTGTGATTCAATTAGATGAAGTAAGTTGAATAATGATTTGACCAATGTGTTCTGTGATTCGAATTGTTATTCGCATTATTTTATTGTGTTTAAGAGAAAATCTCTGGCACTCTCCATTGTTTGAATGGAATATGACAGAGTATCATCATTTGAGATGTTGCCATGCGTAAACTACTGTAGAACTGTGATATTCATAGTTATGGATTACTTATAGACAATAAGATTTCTACAATAAAACTTAATCACAATGATAGCTGAGCTATTCGAAGTGAATTACACGGAACAGTGTTGAAATCCTAATCCAGAATATTATAATCAACTGCTTGAATTACTAAAGTATTCAACTAGGGGAATAACTAAGCGAAAGGATTATTGTGTAGTGCATCGTAGAAGGAATTATCCGATAATAATCTGACCTGAATTTCCAGTTTAAATGAAATAATCATTGAAACCAGGGAGCAGTGGACAACTGCTTCGTCTTGGAATATTACTTAACATTGGATATCCATAGCACTTATTGAGATTAAGCTTAGACGGTTAACAGAATTATCCGATCAACGAAAGTCCATAATATAAACTACAAACTGAACAATTTAACCTTAATATCCTAATCTGTTAAAATTTATTAGTACACTGCATGTGAATGTTCACTAGTTATGTAAGTATCTTTGATAGACCACGAGTGTATTTATCAACTTCTACAACACAACGTAATCAGAATCTGTGTATTAAGTGCCTCAGAGTGCTTCAATGAAGCTCCTCAGATTGATTTATGTTGCCGATTTCACCAAGTACAGTTAAGCTAGTGTTGACAGTTATTGATAAATACACTCTCCTCCAAGTACGGATAAATATTCACAATAAACAGTTGACAGCCATCGGATGATACTGCTACGCTGGTCCGATCAGGTACGCAGAACAGCGTTCATTCTAGTGATCCATTCACTGACTTCTGCCTATCCGAAATGGAAGTCATAACCTTTAAATGTTTATGTTCAAAACACTACAATATTCATCTATCCTACATGTTGATCTGTTTTGCTTCTTCGTCTTCCAGGATTCTCATCAGACAAAAGTAACAGTCCAGTCAAAATACAAACCATCTCAACTTTGAGCCAATAACGTAAACTAGTTGAACAACTACGTCAAGAAGCAAATTTAAATCGTCGTCCTGTTTCTGAATGTGTGCAAGAAATGATTGTGTATATGGAGCAGAATCGAGAAAAAGATTGTCTTGTTTCAGGATTTGCGAGTAAGAAAGATAATCCATTGCAAGAAAAAGGCGGATGCGTGGTGATTTAGGCAACTTGTTAAATGGATGATAAAACAAACAATTTAGACTCAATGTTCAATTATCCTTATGCTCCTTACTTCTCTGCGTATTTAACGAACATTTGTATTTCCTGAAGAACATGGGGAAACTAGTTCAATCTTCAATTAAATTGATTTGGTTCTTAAACCTTGGTATTTTAATTGTATTGCTTCATTTCGTTTTTGTGTATATGGACAAGCGCTCACAAGTAAATTTATTTAATTATGCTTTTATATGAATAACGGGGGTATTCTCATTTCGTCTATCTATTTCGTAATATCTTACTATTTCTGTTGTTTCTATCTCTTGGATGTAGACACTTTAATCCAAACAAAACCAAATAACGATGAACGTTTGAAAACAGACGAATTATTCGAAAGCCAACTTTTCGTTGATTATCTGTGTTCTTCTTACAGTGACGTTGATAGACTACTTTACTTCATTCAGCGAGGAACCCTAAGACGTTAGTCTATTCACCAATGTTGCGAATCATTCTAATAGTGATATTAGTTTGCTGAGTAATTGTTGACAGGGATGTGTTCTACTGGTGACCTACCGTGGTTCTCAAATTACCATGAGAGTCCAGAGCTAAATATTATTCACTGAGAATGCAGGTGATATGATAGCACTATTCTTTAGACAACTCGAGAAATGGTCGGATTAGGAGTGAAGGTTAAGTTATGAAGTTAGTAGCGATATTTAAGAATCGAGTACGGAATAATACTTGGTAGCCATGATGATAAATACATGTACAGTTTCTGCATGATTTCATATACTAGAAACCTTTAAGTTGTCTCACAAATTCACCTACTATATTCCTGGTTTGTGAAAACCTTAAATGTATTTGTTTGTGTTCCCTTTTACATCGCAAATTAATCACTTTCTCATTGTTATTTTAAGAATCGTTCAAGTTAATTAATTAACTTAAAACGTCTTACTGACTAAGTAATGGTAGGTTCTACTTCTTTTTTACTTAGCTTTTCGTATGAAATAAGCTGTACAACATTGCTGCTTGACTTTTGCTCAGAACTCCATGGCACTCCAACTTAAATCTTGTCTGTTAGTCAGAACTGTATATTTTTCGCTTAACTGTTTTCTTATAATTCAAAATTTCTCTAAACTGGTGCCTATAACCCCTTAATGTCAGTAGATATTTAGGAAAGCCAGTTTGAATCTTACTGGATTGAATTAACACTTGATTCAGGATCATGTGCACATTTCATAAATGAAATCCAAGTGACATGAAAGTCTGGGCCAATGTGAGTATCGAAACGACTAGTTATAACCACCTAACATGAAATAAGGTTTTATGATGATCGACCGAAATTTTCAGACTATGATATGATAAGAATGATGAATGCACATTTCTCTTCATCAATAAGCTTGACTGAATCTACAGCATGAATGAGAAACAGTAAAATCGGATAGATTAAACTTATTTGATAATATCGACAAAACAACAGTAGCATTGTCAATGTTAAATTTGAAGATACAACAGATGGCTAGTCATCATTCACTGGGTTTCATTTATTTCAAGCTGCGATTTTTCACTGGTGTTTTCTGTCTTGGTTTCAACAAACTATTTGAGTGGTTCATAGTTGAGTTTGTTGACGACTGTTGAATTGTTATCGACACAATGCTATCATTGTACCATCTTGATGATGCTTCAGAACGACCATTTATCAAATGTGGTGTAGATGTTGGGCATTTTAAGAATGATGAACTAGAGATGTTGACAGATTTGGATTGCGTTTTACCGCCACCCTATAATTTGTCAACATTATAGACAAGCAATCAGTGAAAATCTATTTATAAGAAACGTTCATAGTTTATGCTAGCAAAAACCTCGTCTTTGGCACTGATAACTTTAAATATGATTTGTTTTATCTTAGAGGAAACTAATTGCCACTTGACACTTATTTATTCTAGGCAATTCCTCAAGACAGGGTGGATAGGTCAGTGAATCAGTCACGATGAAATTAAAAATAATGAATAACAAACGAATCACAATAATAATAGTAATTAATCACAATAAAACAGAGAAAATATAGAGAACTCGCTTCGTAAAACGTAGTAGGTTCGTAGAATAAGTACGAAATAATACCGAGACTCATAACCTAGAAAGTGACGTACTAATGATAAGACAGTACTGATACCTATGACAATTAACATCTCCAACCTGTTTAATAGAATAAATGTGGTGTTGCTAGCAGTGGAATCCAGGAGTCGTGCTCAATCTTATTGGGACTTTCCAGCTGCATGTTTCTGACTACTGATCACAGTTGTTGCCTGAACTCCAGCGCTTACTAACATGACTCAGATCAACAGTCAGTAAATTTGTTTAATCGCCTCTACCTCGCTTCCGACCGATTTCCACGTCAGTCAGGAATTCATATCAAGGTATGTGGTGAATTTTGTACTTTGAACGTATACCATGGAAGCCTAAGTAGGTGAGATAACATAAATTCATCAATGAATTTTCAGTTTTTATCTAGTGGCCTGCATCTAACCTGACCATTCCTCACTGTGTTAGATGAAGTGGAAAGAAAGTATTTTATCATTCTAAATACTGAAATTCCAACAAACTAACAGCATACCGGTTACGCATGTAAAATATCCCTCATTAAAGATCGTTCTAATCACCTGGAGGCTACTGAAGAAGTTCAAATTCTTTGTAAATTCAAATATTAGACAATAGTATCAGTTACATTGTAGGGTCCAGAATGTAAAAACTAACACCATTTCAAGTATACTTCAAGTGGTATTGATTTGTGACAACGAATCTTGTTCAATGAAGAGGATAAAGATTTGAACGTCAGTATTGATTAGTTTATCAAAGGATAATAATCACATTTTCAATTAGTTAGTTAAATCAACAGAAATACGTGTTCACGTGATGGCATGGCCTGTTTGACTTCCACATTCTTCACACAGCTTCAAATGCATTTTAAAACACTTTCACAAGACTTTCACTATGTTTAAATGGACTTTTGACAGTGAATGAACCAAATGATGTACATATGAAAACGATTAAATCGTTTTGTAGCATACGTGTGTCCATCATCAAACTGACACATGGTAGTTTAATTTATTAATGAATTCAATGTGAAAGAACTCTGACGAGTATTGGCATTGTGATCAGTGGGCATTATGCATTCAGTATTTATAATTTGTACTCTATGATAGCGTAATACATTGCTTCTTCCCAACCCTATGTATAACATATACTTGCAGTCATATCCTTGTCTGGATGCTGTATACAACTCTAATGATAATCAATGATATCGTAAAGATACCTAACTAGAACGTCTCAACCAGATTTATTCATCAGTATTATACAATATTATTTAAAGTTAAACTTTAGTTTCATGCTTTCGGTCCACGGTAAATAATTCCAAGGAGTTTCAGGCTAACATCACACAAACAATCAATATTTCCTGGCTGACATTAGTTTTTAGAGTTAGCATCAGACAACGACTTGAACTTTATGTAACACTAGTCAATCTTACTCATCAAGTATGACAGAATTGTTTTATGTGGGTTGACTTTCATTACGGATGGATGTTGGTTGCAGTACCAATGTAAACTAGAAGGCACTAGGTAGTCATGTTGCCATGGTATGGAATTCCTCAACGGTCAGCACGTTGTGTAGTCGCCTAGCTTAATGTCGAATAGACTAAGACTAGGAGTGGGGATTATTGGATGGCGATTCAACAATGTAAAAGATAAGGGTTTGGCGAAAGATCTGATATCTTTCATTCGACCCCTAATTAAATGTTCGAAATCATCACAGAGTGTGTTATTTTTAAGTTCCTTCGAGTTGAGCACACATTTCAGTTTACATATATTCCGAAAGAAACGGGAAGAAAATGCCACCCTGACAACTGTTGCTGGGTGATAAGCATTAAATCAATGGAAATATATGTAACTAGGGCAGAACAATACTAACTTAATGGGTTATTATTAAAACAACTAAGCATGCAACCGGTTTCACTGTTTTCTATCAGCAGAACATTTAACAAAATTGGGTGTATCCTGCTTGAGGAATTTATCGTCAGTTGGATGTACCTGAAGTCCATTATTAATAATGTTCAAGGTAAGACGTGAATTCATTGAGAACATCATCACCAGTATACTCAGGTACATGCAGCTGTGATAATTTCCAAAAAAATCTAAACGAGGCCCCTGGTCAAAAAACATCGACAAAGACTTACAAATCATAGTCCCGAATGCACACAACGGGATGATATCAGTTCCTACAATTAGTTGCTATATATGTCTAATACTTCAAAATGCATTTTAGGCTACTTTTATTGATGAAATAAATTCACCTGGTACAATAAGTCATAATGAAACGTCCTATCTATTACATCTCAATTTTAACTAAACACAAGTTCGCGTAATCCATTTCGAGTCTTCAAATCGACGATGACCAATGATACCATTCATCTGCCTAGTAAAAATAAGGAACCAATAAATGACTTTGGTCAAGTCAACAGTTGTTTAAAGGTTTACCATAGATATTTCTGCAAACAATCACAGTTCTTTACAGATGACACGCGGAACCATCAATCAACCAAAAACTATAGCTGATGCAAAAACAAAACTAACTAATCCAGAAACCTACCTCCGAATATCTTTGCTTGTTCAAAAGACGTCGTTCTCGTCGCCCTCTACCTTCTGCAGACGTGTTACGTATTTTCGTTTTGTGTACAGAAAGTGGTTTTGCTTCATTTTTTCCTTTCTGTTGTACTGGGACTTGTTTTTGTAGGTTTTGTTGGAAACTTTGACTGTTGTTACAGTCTGTACTGTTATTGCAGTTTACTTGTGTGATCGATTTACTTTCGGAAAATTTTAAATGCTTCATCGAAGAGCTCGACTTTTCCTTCTTCTATTCTTTCAACTTCCTCTTTCACCTTGTTCTTTCCCTCCCTCAATGAAGGCTTCTTGTCAAATTCCTGGTCGATTTCCTTTCGTTTAGAATAGCCGTTAGTCATCACTTCACTTAATTGATCAGTATCGTCACATGGATCTAGACTTTTAGAGCTGTTGGTAATATCCGTATACTCATTACACTGTATTGATGAATCTGACCGCTTGTTTGTACTCTCTGACAATTTACTTGTATTAACGATGTCTTGCCTGGGGCCATATTTCTTGACTTCAGTTATTCTTTCAGATCCATACTTCAAGCTGACTTGTCGCATTTGCTTAGGGTGGTCAAAGCGAATTACTGGAACAATGCTTAACTCGCGTACTTCACTTAAACGAATAAGGACATCACTGGGAGTGATAAGTAATGGACCGTGCACTGCGTCATGTTTTTGCTCTGATATATTCACTTGCTTACTGTTCTCACATGATGATCTGGATTCACAAAACACGCACGTGTATAAACATGAAAGCTTTCTCTATATCGATACAACAACATTCATCCAAATAAACGTTACCATGGGATCAAAACATTTTATTAGTCAAAATGAATGAGAAGTCAGTCAATGTGATGTCACTAAGTGAGGTTTTCACACATCCTACAGGTTTGGTATACTCAGTCCAGAGCAGTACCTGGGTTATGGGGTGTATTAAATCATTTCAATCCACATCAGTGCATAAACTAAAGCATTTCTTAAAGCTGAATCTTCTGGCCAGCTAATATAGTAACACATTTGCACTGGATGGATGAAACAAGTGTGTACAAGCAATTCATCGTCTCTACAATAAATACTGCATTTGAAGAATTCATCATAGAAGGTTGGTTCCATAAAGTTTAAAGTACAGAAATGATATACCTTAAATTATCTGTACACATTTCTATGTAAAGCTAAATCAGTCAGCAGAATGATTTATTCAAAAAGAATTGGTGAAATCGACACAACTGGAGAATGGAAATTAAAAAAACGAGAGCCAATGAAGGAGAATTGGTTTGAAGTAAATTTCAAAGGGAATGAAGGAAATGAAAGAATGAGAATCTGGGAATGATTCTCGACTCAAGCTTTATGTGTAAATAGGGGAGGTAAGCAACTGCTCTGCTCTGAACAATTCTGTGTTATGGCACTTAAAATCAATAACAACGAATTCCACTGGTTGAAATCATGGGTCCATTAAAGCTAGACGGCTTCTCACTAGAACTCCAGGAGTATCTCTTGAAGTCAGTCACTAGTGAGCAGATGATTATTATCAAAAGGGGTTTTGTGAAGATTGTAGAAGTTTTGTGGTGCGTGCTACTTATATTGATAGAAGTACTGTATAACGTGAGTTAAAAGAACGTAATGTCTGGCAGCAGAAGATTGGGAAGATCAAGAAAGGAAGAGAGAGAACACAATGAAGTTTGTAAGAAATCGCATGAACAATGAAATGTGAGACAATAAATTGATGTTTGCAACAGCAACAGTTCGGTTTTATATGATGGAATGATATTTTGCAAATTAACGATTTACTATAGGGTTTTTCTATTTTATGAAGTAACTCTGTAATTTTGTGCTAAATATAATTTGGTTATCCTCACCTGTGTTCTCATTCACCACAGTTTTACTGGTTGAAATCACAAGTCACTTGAAGCTAGACCACTATGGAAAACCTGGAAGCATTGGACGGCCGTTTCGTCCTAGTATGGGACTCCACGTTCTAGTTTAGTGAGAAGCCGTTACCAGTGGAGTTCAACCAGGTCTGTTGTGAGATATCAACTCACTGAAGACAATGGTAATCGGTGGTTCAACTTCGTGGATTGGTTGAAGCTAGACATTAACACCGTTAGATGCCGGCTCAGTTGTCAAATGGTTCTGGGTTCGAATCTCGCGAGGAACGGGATCGTGGATGCGCACTGCTGAGGAGTCCCGTACCAGGATGAAACGGCCGTCCAGTGCTTCCAGGTTTTCCATGGTGGTCTAGCTTCAATTGACTCATAGTTTCAGCCAGTGACATTTCTAAGATCTCCACAAAGCCCCTTCTGATGACAACAAATTCCTTTAGGGTTAGATGTAGAGAGTTTACACTTCATTACATGACTTATATAAATAGTCATTAGTCATACAAATTGATTTGTTAGTTCATCAACATTTGTCCAAATTACCTCTACTCCAGCTACGATCACACATCGATGTGGGCGGTAGCTATGATTGTGCAGCATATATTCTGGACCAAATATTACGATTTTTATTGAAAGTAGGCTTGAAAGAGCATTTCTGAAGCTTGGGCGGTTATCATTTCTACAACCCATGTTCACCGAATGATTTTTTTCTTGCTTTTCGAACTCTCATATCTACATATCGAATAATTTATGGTACTACACACATGTTCGGTCTTCAAAAATGGTATGATAAAATGTCGAGAATAGTTGGTGTATATAAGACATTCAAACAGCGCTTCCAAACTCATGAAAGGAATCCTAAATTTCCTTATAATTTTTTCTCCAAACATTCCAAGCTCATAAAAATTTCTATAAAAATATCATCTGGAGAGTGTACGTTTCCTCTGTACATACCGTATAACATCCAGTTTTGCCGAACATTTTACTTGGAATTGATATACATTTCATCATTTAGAATTTACAAACCATTCGGGATCGTGAGTGCGCATTGCTGAGGAGTTTCAGGCGAGGACAAAACGGCCGTCCAGTGCTTTCAGGTTTCCCACGGTGATCTAGCTTTATTTAACTTATGACCTCACTTATTAAATTAATATAATATCCACAGAAACCCCTTTCTGATCATTTACTGTTGATCTGTAGTGTCAGTTATTATGCTAAGCCCATATATCTTATTCTAGCTTTCGGACATCCCATTTTATTCATTCTACTTGAGCCATACTTTGACCTTGTTATTTATTCGCTTACCAATCTAGACTGTTTTTATATGAGCGTATATGTGTGTGCCCTTCTTATCGCATTAATCACGTCTGTAGCTTTATTTTGTCTGACTATAAATATTGAGTAACGCATGAGTAAAATGGAGTTGGCTTCCCAGCCATCTGCCCTGCGTGTCATTTTGCTTTGCTCTGCTTCATTCGCTCCATATGCAAAATATATATATATATATTCTCAAGTCAATTCTCGTTATTCGACTTATTTAATTCCGTTATTGACTAACGCGATTTAAGTCGACGATGATATACGAGAATAGGCGATAACAATCATTCGTACGATCTAAATACGAGTCAGATCAATGGGCCACTAAAAATCAAATGCATCAAAAAGTGTCTAGTTATACATTGTAGTGCCACTTATGCATATGTATCAGTCAGTCATATACAACGTAGAGCCTGACACAAGTGTACATCGGTCGAAGTCACCACATCTCATTAGCAAACAGTAAGATGAAATCGTTAGGGGAATTCCAGAGTAGTAGTGGTAGTAACAATATTGGTGATAGTACAAAAGATTAGGAAACAATGATAATTTGATTAGAAATCTTGGACTAGTCAAATAAAAAATTTATATGGTAGGTTTGGAACTTAGGATCAAACGTAAAACACAATAGTCCGAGTAAAGTGTTTTACTGATTGGAGATTTGAACAATGTGGGGATTCGGATGGCCTACCAACTGCGTGAAGGAATACATAGTTGGCATATTGATGGGTCAGAACTCATTGGTCACTGTTTTTGATATGAGTTTTGTTTAACAGTAAGATCAAGTAAGAATCAGAACACGGATTTGGTCTGTTTCGTGTTACGTCGGATAGAGTTGGTTATACAGTCAATTCACACAGATGCAGTGTGTGAAAGTTAATATAAATGAAACAACAATTTACCAAAGTATCATACATATGGACAGAATTGAAGATACTTGAAAAGCAAGCTTACTTCACTGAAGCATTGAACATCATTTGATTTTGTAAATAATCAGACAATAAATTTCCCCTTTTACCATGTTGACTTTGAAGTTTGGATTCAGTGAGTGCAAGAATTTCCGCTGGTTCTAATGTTGAAATTGTTCGTTCATGTACTCTTAACGGGTCGAAACTAATCACATTGCGCATGATAAATGATTTCTGATCTTCAGATAAACTGACCAGTTGGCCTAAATGAACGAGTATACCATTTTTATGCGTTACAACTCGAATAAATGGACATGAATTCTTTTCTTGACTGTCGTTCATTGAATTTTCTCTGTTTGAACTGAATATACTGGAAGCCACTTGTGAAATACTCACACATTTGATGACAGTCCTGTATAACCTGAGATAAGTTACGTATTTGTCGGATCTTCAGTCTGAGTAGCTTTATTCTCTTTGGGTAGTGAATGAATTGGTAGTTTCAGAGCGTATAAAGCCAGGATCAGTTTAAGGATTTCTTGTGACGGATTCATACCAATCAGAAGAGAGTTCAGTGACTGTTCATCCATCATGGTGATTTGGTGCTGTTGGTTTTTAGTATTTATCATGTTATTGATTGTTTTTTGGATAATCTGTGTCTCTTCAATGGATGCTGTAGAGATTTCATTCATCTATCAGAAGAAAAAGAAGAGTTATGCACATGCCAAATGAATATAATCACTGATGTTGACAAAGTAGATTAACAACAATTTGCAAGAGAATTGATTTCCTTGTGAGATTGGCCAATAAATCATTGTAACTAACATTATTCATTAACACAGATCACTTATGACAACTATGCTAGTACTAACGAGTGACCGTGCGAAGTACTTCTGCAAGGCACAGCTGCAATAATGAGACGAAATTAGTATTGTTTGAGGTGTTCAAACCGGGTGATCCAATTTCATAACCTTAGGGAAACTGTCAAGTAATTATTTAAGCCTAGATAGATCTATTGCGGATGAGGAGTTACTCAAATATATTGATCGAAATTTATAAGTAAAGAAACGGTTTACTGTATGGTTGTTAGATATTAGTGAGATATTCTATAATAGTGTTTCCAAATTCATAAGATTGCTCCATTCGTGCTCTTGTTCACTATGATAGTAGCTCACTGAAAACAATGGTGGACGGTGGCATATTCTCGTCGATTGGTTGGAGTTAGACATTAACAAACAAGTTATTATTGTCATCACAAAACTTTAAGTACTTTAAGTTGAATAATTTCCGTAGAAACGTCCGTAGCACAGGAAGACTGTTTCATCCTATTGTATGACTCCCAGAAACCGAATATACACGACTTTGTACTCGGCAAACTCACCGAGAACCTCAGGTCTTGCACATGAATTCTCAACCTCTAGACCACTGAGCTGGAATCCAACAGTGTTAAGTCAGTCAGTCAGTAACAACGTAGAACTTCGTACGTACGTACATCAGTTCGAGTTGCCACACCACATTAGCACAGAGATGCACTTGTCGATTCAAATCCCGTCGTGGTAGAGGTAATAAGAGTATAAGCAGTAATCGGGAAGATTAGGGTTTGGAGATGTTATTTAAAGAGTATAATCCAGTAAAAGAAATTTGGAAAGAGGAAAAAAAGGGACATGAAGAATTCAGAAGATTAGAATTTGGGAGAACACAGAGAGTGGATGCACCTGCGCCATTGCAAACGATTTTGAGCCATGTCATTCAGGGTCTCTAACCAACGGCTGCTGTCATCTCGCGGTCCCCAACCAGGTAGTCTACACCTACCAACATGACTCAGTTCACTTGTCAGTGACTTCATGGACTTGTGCCATGTTTTGGTTTGGCCGCCCCTAGCTTTCTTCCAACCTACTCCTATACCACTGAACATAGCACGTCGAGGCAGTCGGTCGTTGGGCATACGTAACACGTGTCCCAGCCATCTCAACTGATGAAGTTTCACTACGTCATCAATTGATTTGTGTTGAATTAATCCACAACAATGCGCAACCATGTTTCATTGTCTTTGATAGGTGACTGTTTCACACTCTACTCGGATTGTATAAAAAATGTTTTCCTAAAGTTAAATAACAATATTCCTGTGTGTAAATCACCGAATAATTACTGAAGACCATCTCAAAGCATCATATCGCTTAAATAGTCCTGTCCGATTCATTAAGTTTCCTACATATATAAGTGTTAACAAAAAGGTACCGAAAAGCTAACTGAAGTTGGATACAAGAACAAATGAATAATAGATCAGTGGAGTTTAATAACTTCACAATGGTGGATTTGACCCCCAGAAAGGTCGTGTGTACGCGTTACTGAGTAATAGCGTGTTAGATATGAAATAGCTCTACAGTACTCACTCATTCATATGATGTTTAGCTGAAGAAAGTTTGTAATGGTAAATATTTTTAGACAGAACTCAGGAGGATCTATTCGATAGTTGAATTTACATTTGTATATGTTACTTGTCGCTCCATCACTTTCATCATTATCTAATCAAGTTCACAGTAGTTCATTTTTTAAATGTTCATAGTCCAACAAACTCAGTTACCAAAAACTGGTTGTTTCATCCAAGTATGAGATCCTTTAGCAATAGGCGCTCGAGATACATTACAGCTAAGGAACCTGAGATATCCGGATATCCTGGGAATTACAATATCTCCGAATCACTGGGTCGTATTCTATTACCTACATTATACGCAATCATAAACGTTCCCTCATACCAACAGACGCGTATTCACTGCTGACTAATTTCCATAAGAATCTTAGAGATATTTTAGCGAGTTGTCGGAAGTGAAACAAATTACTTCTTATGACGGTGAACGATGGTTGTTCTGTCTATCACACTGACCGAAAATTATCGGTGTGAATCATAAACAATGTGACCACTACGCAAAATAAAGGTATTGGGTTCGATCCAATGTTCTATCACTGTGATACAATTTTGAATAGCACTAAACTTGGACGAAACTACTGTACAATGCTTCTTAATTTTCGGTTGTTTGTAATTGTCATTTTGAAACAAAAAATACACTATTTTCCGATACACAGATCAGTGGTTAAGTAAAGATGGATAATAGTTAGGAGCGGAATCCAAGATGCGAGTTTAATACACTTTGGGATTCGTCAGTTGGATCTACCTCTATCCTGGTGTTGGTGTTCACGTCGGGACTGGAATTTATTAAGATGGTGGAGAGGATTTGTAGCTCAGGTGGATGATGTTGATGGAGTTTTGTTCTCTGAGCTGGATGGTTTGGTCATGGAGCTTTCATCGTTCATCATCAGCACAAACTTCAGATAGAAGTGAAGCGTTCGAATCTCTCCATATGCAGTTCAAAGCTTATCCTGTACACCTCGATGTTGATTGGTTTTTATTGACCTTAAATTCGTCATTGTTTACTTCCTTGTTTTGGTTGTGTCTCCCATTGGTTTGATTTTTGTTCCTATGTTTGTGAGAAAATGTCCTCACTTATATCAATACATGTGGACAAGTGCTGACACTTATTTCACTGGAAAAGTGTGGAAATCTTGGATAGAAAAAATTCCAAAAACATCAGAGAATTTTTATGAGCTTGGCAGTCAGATCAATCAGCAATCAACAAGCACATTGAAATCGACCTAAATAATCAACCAATCAGGAAAATTATGCACAAATATGAGAACAAAAATCAAACCGATGGATCATACAACGAAAACAACGAAGTAAACAATGTTCAAATTTAAGGTCAACAAAAAACAATCAACATCGAGGTGTAGAGGACTAGCTTGAACCACATATGGAGAGATTCAAACGCTTCACTTCTATCGGAAGTTTGTGCTGATGATGTCGTTCAGAAGAACGATGAAAGCTCCACGACTAAACCATCCAGCTCAGAGAACAAAACTCCATCAAAATCGAATTTAATAATTTTTGTTTCAAGAGCTTAGTCCATTATCTCCAGGGCGTTTGAAGCTAATACTAATAGTTTTGAATTCCAGGGTGGGAATCAACACTAGAATGGAGGTACATGCTGTTGTGACTTGAACTTGGATCGATTTTTAACCCGTGCCAATTGTTGTGTCTTTGACTGAAAGATTAGAGATCAGTGTCTTATCGATCGGATCAAAAACGCGTAAAACCCGTAAGAACGGCCTAGAGTTTTGGTTGGCCCTGATTTCCTGTCTAGCCCAGCCAGTTGAGTCCAGAACGCAAGTTTCAGCCTCTAAGATATGAATCATTGTATTTCAGACATACTCTGTTTATATACCAACCAACTCGACCACAACGTACCAATAAAATAGAAAATAACATTTGTACAATAATTAGCCAGAAGTGGCCGTGAATGAGGGAAAACTAACGTTAAGCATCTAGTAGAATAGAAGAATAAACTGTGAAATCAGTTATGTAATACAGAATATTGATCGAGAGAACAAATGAAGAATCCATCTAAAGTAATTAACTATTCAGAGTAATTACATAAATGTTAGAAGCAAAATGTAAGTTGGATTTTCATCAAGGTTCATTTGACTCAACTTAAGTTTATCGAAGTAACAATGAAGATCATACATAAAGTTTCTGTTGTCTGTATATGACAGTGTTTTTCTTTTAAACAACAATATTCACATAATCACTTTACAAACTACTTCCAAATTCAGAAAGATACCGACTTCTATGAGCATTCTGTATTCGATTTTGATGCATAATATTCGGAGATGTGTTGTATGCTACTAATGTATGTCGATATAAGTAGTATGTAACACTAGTCGGAAGTGGAATGTTTACGAACCGAAGGTTGAGAGGATTAAAGTGAATAGAAGACAGAAGAAAACGGAAAGTAATCAAGATAACAATAGGAGTGAAGGAACAATGAAGCTTGTAAGAGACGATTCAAAGAAGATGTGCAAATGATGTATTTTGCATTAAACAATCAATCGGTCTTCCCCATTTCACTTCTTTGCTCGTTACGATATCACTGGGATATAATCAATACATTTTAATCACTAAGGAATTTTTAATATAAATGAATGAAGAATATACTTTTCAATAAATTCTCTTCAGTGTCTACAATCATCTTTGCCAAATGGATCATCCAAAATGTGGTCAGATTTAAGACAGAATGCATCGTTTATAAATGACAGTATGTGAATTGAGGATTGTTTGTGATAGAAAATAAAATGGAAACTTTGTTGCGAGGATGACTAATATGATGTGTTGACTTTACAGTAATGCAACGTGTTATCAGCAATCTGTCTATATCCATCAGACTAGGAATACTTTAGAAGAAGAAGAAGAAGAAGTATGTTCAACCGCTCGTTTGACCAATTTCTGGATT